TATAAAATAAAGCAAGCAATAGAATATGTCAATAGGGAGTCAATTGAACTATTTAGAGAAAACGTAATAAGTTCGTAAAAAATTGGTTCTTCCATTCACTAAAATTAGACCAACCATTGCATGTTCCATTTTCATAATAATTTTAAAATGCTTAGACATTAATGGCCTTACATCTATCCTATATCATAGCATTATGAGTTTCTCCACATATTATTACACATATAAACCACACAAAGGTTCACAATATATAGTTCATTGAAAACTTATATTTGTTACTATTAGATTTAAAATTTTGGATTCATATTAACTAGGTATTTTCTTTTGAAAAATATAGTATAGGTCACACAAATCACGAGGAAGCGAGGTATATGACATGCCTTTATTAATTTATATATAAGTATGTAACAACTTGCATCATCTTAAACCAACTAGAAGGAGAACTACTTGATGGTACCGATAAAACATATTTATTAACAATAATAGTTCTTTAGAATTTGTTAAGAAAGCAAGTAGACATTCAATTAAAAAAATGACAAAACACCTTATTTCTAATTTACACTTGATTTGTTAGACACGTTTTCCAAACAAACTGAATCGATCATCTTTCTATATAATAATAAGATCATAGATGATTATTTATACATATGTATTAAATAATATATATTTTAAAACATAACAAATATATAGGAAAAATTATCAAAGCAAAATACCGATGAACAGCGGAGGCCTCACCTGATGTGTCTTAAAAATAATATTTGTGTGTGTGTATATATATATATATATATAATATAATATATATTTTTCAAACAGAATGTACAATACTTGCCCGCGCGAATGCGCGGGCTACCTTCCTAGTTAATTATAGCAATTAGTCTTCTATTTTTCTCACCTTTGCTGGACCGTTCAATATTATGTTTATTATATCGCGATGTTTGTTTCCTATGATTGGTTTCTGTTTTTTTGGCAATTTTTAAGGAAGAGCGATCTTTGTCTCCAAGCGTAAGAATATGTGCAGTAGGCCAGCAGCTTCCGTGCTCGGGTTGCCAAACCTCAGCTGCCGTCAGCGTTGCATCTTGAGGATGACTCAGCCACTGTGGCTGATCGATTAGGGAAGGAGATTGAAATGGGTTTGGTTAGGCTTTCTTTTTTCTTGTGGATATAGGTCTTGTACGATAATTGTACGATGAAACACTTCTCCAGTGTTTAGTAACGGCTGTAAGTTTGGTTGGTCCCACATGGATGGATTTATCTTGTATTGCTCGGCCCATATGTATATTAAAATAAATTGCAAAGCAAAGTTTATGATGACATATTTTGTAAAGCAAAATTTATATTAAAATAATATAAAAAATATACAAGCGTTAATTACATGGTCTTACTCTTAGACATTGCATTGGAAAAAAAAAAAGAAAGACTAGCGTAACAAAGAATATGTTCGTGAGGCCCAAGCAAATAATAAGATGGACATACCGGATTAGTATTGTTGTAGATTAGATTAGACCGTCAGCTTAGATATTAATTTAGGTTTATACAGCATAAATAAGAGGTAAAAGACGGCTATTGAGTTTGTAAACTTTGTATATGGGCTTCTGGGCCATGATCGACTTGTATTCTCATTATGTATCTCTGTTGCTGTGTCGTCTGTTTGGTCCGCGTTTGATCGTACTAAATTACGTAAGTGAGAATCATACGTGAAGTATTTTCCTTTAGATTCAAACCTTTTTTTCTTCAATCTTCCAATTTTTTCATCACATCAAATGTTTGGACACATGCATGGAGCATTAAATATGGACGAAAAAAATCTAATTGCACAATTTGCATGTAAATTGCGAGACGAATCTTTTGAGTCTAATTACACCATGATTTGACAATGTGGTGCTACAATAAACATTTACCAATGATAGATTAATTAGGCTTAATAGATTCGTCTTACAGTTTACAGGCAGAATCCGTAATTTGTTTTGTTTTTATTCTATGATTAATACTTCAAATGTGTATGTATACTTCAAAAAAATGTTGGACCACGAACTAAACACAGCCATAATGTTTGGATAGGCTGAGGATGTTATCCAGATTTATAGCTAAAAATATTTATATTTTGGAACGGATGGAGTAATTAACTGATGCTGTAAGTTGGGTTGAGAGTAGAAGAGTCAAAATGTTGCTCCCCACTTCACTCATATCCTTTTTTTAAAAAAAATAAACAAAAGTAATGCGCAGAGAGAATGTTACCAATAAATTTATTTACGAAATGTCCGTTAAATTTTCTACAAACGCTCGTAAGCCAACACGTGTCATCATACAAAACCTCATAAGCCGCTACATGGTACACTAAGAAATCTATTATATACTAAAAGTATATTAAATTTACTATAAAAACTCTTAAATCGTCACGTGACCTATAAACGCTCCTAAATCACCATATAAAGTTATTTGTAAAATTCATAAAAATTCGTACAAACATCTAACCACTGATCGATTTTTCTTTAAATCGATGGAACCACTAAATTTAACCATTAGATCTACATCTAAAAGAAAAAAAAATCGGCATCCCCACTTCCCATCACCACCGTCCATATCCACATACTCCCTCCACACCCTCCACACCCTTCGAACTCTCCCCTCCTCTCCTATTTTCTAAAAAATAAGAAACTATAACATCTGCATCAAAAACTAATATTTGATCCGCTTATGTCTTTACATTCAAAGACACATATCCACTATAATTCAACTTTGAAATAAATGTATCATTTTAGGGCTATATTTTTTTGATTTTTTTCGTGTCATTCAAACAATTGTAAAATTGTAAAACGATAATATATATTTTATCATCATATATAGCTTCACAATAACTAAAATGAACCAAAATCCAATTAATGTTCTAAAAAATACTCCCCCATTCAAATAATATAATAAGTCAAAGTAACATTACTAGATTAATTTGTGGTGTTCATCTTTTTTATTATCTACTATGAATATGCTATAGGAAAAGATGAGTAAAAACGATAGATTTTAATCAATCAATAAAGCTTATTTAGTTAACAAATTAATAACAAGTAAAACACTATAATTTAATTCTCTCCCCTTCGACTCTCTCTTCCTCTATTCTCTCATTCATTTCCTTCGTCTCCTAACTTTTAACTAATTAATACAAAATGACCAATAATTAGGAAGCTAAATGATTATAATTCTTAAGTTATGTCATATTTTTAGTTTATTAGAATTTTTGTTTTATTTATAATTAAATCAATAATTTAAGATCCATATTACCTATATTTCACTGTATAAAAATAAAAATATGTTATTTGAACATAGACACATATCCTTTGCATAGTAACAAAAAAGAAAAAAAAAGTATAACACTAAAAAATGACAATAAGTATTATATCACCCTAAAGCATTGTACGTTCTTAGCAGTTCACTTAAGACGTCACATGTTATGTCTTAAATAAAAATAAAACCTTATAAGTTGGAAGAAAGAAACATCTAACCATCAGTTTCCACTTAAATAGGTGATCCATTATTTTTTAGCCAATAGGTATACTATTAAAAAAATCTTAAGCCATCATGTATTATGTCTTAAAAATTAGAAAAGAAGAGATATTAGAAAATATGAGAAAAAAAATCAGATCATCGATTTTCACTTTAAACCATTTAGAAAAATAGAAAAAAAAACACCCCTCCACTTCGTCCTCCCCCACACATGCACAACACAGCACTACCCATCCCCTTTCCTCTCGGCTTGAACTGTCCACTCTTCCTGTTTTTTAGCATGAAATAATAAAAAATATTAAAACATGCATAACTTTTAAGATACGTATCTAACCTCTAATCTAACTATTGTTGTATTCATAGTTAAACCAACAATCTAAAAATCCATAACGCCTATATTTTGAACTGGTATAAAATAAAACAAGAAATAGAAAATGTCAATAGGGACTAATTAAATTCAACAATTTGGAGAAAATGTAACAAGTTGGTAAAAAAATGGTTATTACAAAATTGATGTTCCATTTTCATAACAATTTTTGAATGCTTATATATTAATTTTTTTTAGGTAATGGAATATAATATCCCGGCCTTTACTCAAAAGAGCTACATCCAATTATTACATAGAAGCGTTCAAGAATATAGTGTAAATCTAAATGAATAGAACACATCGTAAAGAAAAACAAAGAATCTAGCCTAACATAAGGAGATCACAATTATTGAAGTCTATTTGTAAATCTCCAACCATAATTGGTAAAAAGTTGCATAACCGTAGTCTCTAACTTCCGGCATGCAACTTTCAGAAACTCTTCATCTTCATCACACCTTTGTAGTTGTGTCCAAAACCGGAACTAATGAATTGCTTTGAAAATGACCTGCATATAGGAAAATGATGGTGATTTATCAAAAATCATATCGTTCCTACTCAGCTATATTGCCCAACAAATGGCAGAAGCTCCAACAAGTATCAGTTTACTCATTTTCTTATCAACTCCCAAATGCCACGCATCAAGAATATGAGATATGCTAACTGGAAGATTAAAACCAAAAGAGAACTGGACTACTCTCCATATAAACTTCGCAAAATGACAATCTATATATATTATATATATTAATGGCCTTACATCTATCTTGTATCGTAGTATTACCGGTTTCTCTGCATATTATTGCATATAAGTCACACTAAGGTTGAAAAGTTATATTTGTTATTATTAAAGTTATTTTTTTTGATTCATCAGAACTAGCTATTTTCTTTTAAAAAAGATAGTATAAATAACACATATTACAAAGGAAGGAGTAATTGCTAAACCCAATACGGTGATAGGCCGCCCCTCTTGTGGTCTCTGAGACTGAGTCACTTGCAATATCTACATGTTTCATGTGGAGTAAGTCAAATCACCTCGCTCGCTTTGCTTCGACGAAACTTCGACGACGCGTTCTCACCTTCTTCCACGATGAAACGGCGGGAACCATTTACGCGCCACAATCGCGCCAATTATATAAGCTGAGCCACACCGCCATAGACCAAGCAACGGTAAACAAGCACACATCCACACACAAGCACACATCCACACAACGGCAATTAATCATTGCAGAGAGCTAGCAGCTAGGTTAGTTAGGTGAGCAGTGGCTGCAAGGGGCAAGCCATGGCATCTGTGGAGACGTGGGTAGGGTTCGGGTCGGCCCTGGCCGGCGTCGGCTTGCTTTGGTCGAGGATGCCGGAGCACGTCCATGACGAGGCTAGGTACATCATCAGTAGCCTGGTCCCCATGGCGATATCCTACTTCAACCCCTACGAGCAGATCACCGTGTCCGAGTACGGCGAGGAGCGGTTCCGACGCAACAAGATGTTTGACGCCGTCTCCACCTACCTGAGCCGCGTGTGCGCCGGTGGCGCCTGCAAGCTCAAGGCCGAGCTCTGCAACAACGGCAGGGACGACCCAATTGTCACTCTGGACGAGAATCAGGAGGTCGTCGACAGCTTCGACGGCGCACGCATGTGGTGGAGGCTGTGCCCCAAGGCCTCCAAGAACAAGGGGGCCATCACCGTCACCTACTACCCCGGGGAAGCGGACAAGCCGCGCTGCTTCAAGCTAGTGTTTCACAAACGCCACCGCCAGCTCGTGCTCAACTCCTACCTACCAAGCGTCGTCCGGCGTTGGCGCGAGCTAACCGCGATGAACCGGCAGAGACGGCTGTTCACCAACCATGCCAATGAGGCGAAGAAGAGCGTGTGGACCAGTGTCCCTTACAACCCCCCTGCAACGTTCGACATGCTCGCCATGGACCACGCCAAGAAGGTTGAGATCGTGGACGATCTCACAACGTTCCAGAAGGGGAAGGAGTACCACTCAAAGGTTGGCAAGGCGTGGAAGCGGGGCTACCTTCTGCATGGGCCACCGGGCACGGGCAAGTCCACCATGATTGGGGCCATGGCCAACTTCCTCGACTACGACGTCTACGACCTCGACCTAACTTCCGTCAAGAACAACAGCGAGCTGCGGAAGCTATTCCTTGATACGACGGACAAGTCCATCATCGTTATAGAGGACATTGACGCGATCGAGGTCGAACTCACTACCAAGCGCAAGGGCAAGAAGGCAGCCAACGGCGACGAAATCCACGACAAGCGTATGCTGATAGAGTTTTCCGACAAGAACGATGAAAAAAGCAAAGTGACTCTGTCGGGCCTGCTCAGCTTCGTCGACGGGCTGTGGTCGGCGTGCGGCAGTGAGCGGATCTTCATGTTCACGACGAACCACATTGACCGGCTTGACCCAGCACTAATCCGGCCAGGGAGGATGGACAAGCACATCGAAATGTCTTACTGCCGCTTCGAGGCCTTCAAGGTACTCGCCAAGAGCTACTTGGACATCACCGAGCACTCACTATTCGCTGAAATCGAGCGGCTGCTCGACGACACTGACACAACTCCGGCAGACGTCGCCAATAACCTCATGCTGAGGAGCAAGAGGAACGGTGAAATCAGTCGACTGCTCGACGAGATCGATGGGGCACCGCGGGCAGATGTGGCCAAATGGTGCAAGAGGAAGAGAGACACGGACGAGTGCCTGGCAGGTTTCGTAGAAATACTAAAGAAATCCAAGATGGAATCTGCAACAACTCCAATGGATTCAATGGAAGAAGCCAAAGAGGAACGACCTAACGCAAAAGAAAGCTACAAAATGGGGCGGATATATGATGAGAACTATAGGTTGGGAAATGCCAGCTAGACTCCTTGTTTTGTGTTTGCTATTTTACCAGACTTGCGTGTTTACTAGTCACTTAAGGTTTCAAAGCCATACATAAAATGGAATAATATAAAATTAGTGGTGTAACACTACTTATTTTCTCGATCTATAATTATTTCACGCTCTATAATTTGTCTTGTCAACTTTCAAATGTTGCTAAATCTTGGTAATCACAGACTTATATAACTGGGTGTTGTTTGTCGAAAATGCTTCGCCTCGAATGTTCGATGTGGGATGAAATATTCGAGTGGGTCCCACCACCGAACCAGTCTCCCACCTTTTCCTCTCCACGTTCAAACTTATCCCCATTCCCTTCTCTCGCATTTTGCTCTCTTCCTCTCCGCCTCTCACTCTTTGGCTATCCACCACCTCGCTGAGATGCAATAGTAGGAGGCCGGCTTCCCAACCTCCACCACCACTATCAGCACCTCACCACCACTGTATCCCATCGAATCTAGCCACGCTAAGTATTGACAGTCGTTATATACCACTTTCGATCGTCAATATATCCAAAATAAATATGAACTAGCTATGCTTGCATGTATATTTTGTTTAAGAATATTCTATCTCTACTTGTACTTGGAATATTATTTGAATTCAGAGATTGCTGCATAAATGGAGGAGAATCGACGGAAATTAACCGAACAATCAATCGTCGTCCGTCGAGTGGCAAAATTTTGGAACGATGGCCTTACAAAACCATTTTTAACACCTGCGAATAAGCCCAACTATCCTGCCACGGAGTATAAAGCCCAACAAGGAGGATCTAGACCAAAATTGGAGGCCAGAGGAGCCAGCCCAGGTTCGGCCGAACCCTAGCCAGCGCCCCTTATTCTAGCCTTCCACGTGGACGCTCTTGATCACTCCTCAATGACGGTTGTGGGGTATTTCGGACAATTCCAACCACCATAACCGTCATACTCAGCATATAAAAGGAGGATGTCTCACTCACTCCATCACACACTCAAGAAGAAGATCAAGTTCTCTCAAATTTAGTTTATTGTTCTAGTGCTAGTGGAGTAGGAATAGAGTTGTTTCCTTCGTCCTTGAGTCTTCAGGTGATTTCGGGTATAACTCTAGTAGCTCTTCCTTTCTTTATAAGACTTACAGCATTAATGAAATATTCTTCTTTATATAGTTTCGGTCTTTTACATAATTCCTATTTCAAGTACCGACTTTAGTTTGTACTTGTCTCGATATAATTGTGTAGTTATCTTACTAGAGATATGTATTGGTGTGGGTTTAATGTTCGTGCAAATGATTGCTCTATATTGAGCGCGAGGGTGTAGAGTAGTATTTAATAAAGTAAGTGCGGTGCTTAGATTATTAGATATCATTATTTAGGGTTATATGCCACGGGTTAGTAGAGGTGGGCTGCTAATGGTGACAGTTTAGTACGGGTATCCCTCCACATTCATATATAATCCTAAGACATTTTCCTAGTATGGGTACTCTTTCGTATTCATTTCCGGTAGGATGGCCATGACGAATTGTTGTTAGGAACTCGGCAATTATGGGTGGTCTCTCAAAACACTACGAGAGCATACTTAGAGAGTATTGGCTACATGATTGGATACTAGCAAGTGTAAACTACGGACAACTATATACTAGAAGTATATGAATGATTCTTTACTTATTCTTTCACCACTTAGCCTAGATTATATTTTAGCAGGGTGGTCCTTATATCTTTCTTCTGTGTGTCAACCTTATCCTACCAATGAATTAATTAACCCATATATAGACTTTGATGAATACAAGTAATATGTGAATTATTAACATAGTACTCTTTTATCATATCTTAGATTAAATAAAAATATGATACCTTACATTACTCCCAGGTGAAATGCTACAATCGTATATCCTTGCGCTTACGGATCATATCTGTGACCATAAATATACCAAGAATATTTCGGCGCTATTACTGAGAATTATATGTCTAGTAATGTCATTAAGAAATATAGACACTAAGCTCACCAGTAAAAAACGATTCTTGCATGTAGCCAAAACAAATTTTTTGCATGCGGCTAGGCGGCCTCCATGCACCCAGGTATCTGCAAAAATCAAAAGTCAAAAGTTTCCACGTGGGCAGAAGCAACAGCATGTGAAAATGGGATTTTCGTGTGCGGTCACCTAAGTGAAAATAATTTCAGCGAAAAAATCAAAATTCCGGTAAAAAAAATTGACATCCTAGCTCCCCGATTCATCCTATACCCTACTTCCGAAACCATCATCATCGTCATAGCCTCCACCGTCGCCGTCATCGTCATCGCAGCCGCCGCCGCTCACTCCTGCCACCTAAGGCTGCTGTCGTCTTCGTCGCTGCCGCCGCCGCCGCCATCGCTGTCCCGAGGTCGCCGGATCCAAGCACCGTCATCACTCCCGAGGGCGGGGCCGGCAGATCTGCTCCAAGACTACCGGATCCACGTGTCGGCGCCGCTCCCAAGGGTTGCGGCGGTGAATCTGCCTCGAGCCCACCGGCGCCGCCGTCTCCATGCGCCCACGAGCTTTACAGTTGCTTTCAAATTTAGTCTTTATAGCAGCAGTATTAACATAAGGTGAAATTTCATATGGATATACAACTTTTTGCCAAATATCATAATCCACAACCATCATATAAGATTTCATCTTGTCACACCAATAAGGAAAATCAACTCCATCAAAAACATGCGGCTTGGTCAAAATCTTATTAACCATAGCAAAAACTCAAGATCTAAAGATTAAAAAAAGCAAACATGGCTCTGATACCACTTATAGGATCGAATATAAGAACCAAGCCTACCATAGGGGGAGGGTGAATGGTAGGAACACAAAAAAACCAAAACTTTTAGAAGAAATAAATTTTACCCTCAAACCCGATGAAGTCCTCGGCATAGCCGTTCTGATCGCCGTGTGAACACCGATCTGACTGCACCTTTTCCGCTGCCACCTCCTTGTCTGCTATCTTCTCACTGCCGCCAATATGATCGGTTGTTTGCCGCTGGTTAGACCACCATTATCATACCGGTTAGACCTCTTGCCAGAAGCTACTTTGACCGTGGGATCCTGAAAAACATGAAAATAGATTAACTTTATTGCGTTAATGTGTTTACAAAGTGCATCTAAAGTACTCTCTCAACTCACAAACTAGAATCGAAGCAAACTATAAATTTCCTCTCACAAAAAGTCAATATCTTCCAGCCTTAACCCCTCTTCTATAGTCAATATCTTCCAGCCTCAACCCCTCTTCTATTTACACCTACAACATGGTTGTCCCTACCAACAACATGCCCATACAACTCCACACTCCAATCTTTTCAAACATGGACTACAATCCAAATTTGACTCATCTTTCTATACACACACAACACCACGTGTATGCCATATGAAAACCTTTATCTTCATGTGCATTGTTCTCTAGCCTGAACATTCCATGTGATATCTTGACCATTTGGACCTCAACTAGCTTCTCCCAAGCCTAGTCTAGATCCATCACTGGCTATACTACCATGGTCTCAAGCAACACCTGCACAAGAACAACAAAGAAACTCTTTATCCGAGTACAAGTTCGTACCAACTTAACTCACATCAACACACAATAGTATCACATATAAATAGAAACTTTCTAGAAGTCATAAACATGAAGCAATCTAGAATTTCATGAAAACAACCCGAAACCGACTCCATCTACCCAGTCAGACCTCCCAATCACCACCGGTAAAACCGGCGGCACCCATCCGGTCTGACCAGTCTCCCATAGCTGACCGCACTGTTCATCCTCCAAAAACGTGGCACGCCGCATTTTCACAAATACTTACCTTTGACAATTTTTCGTCACCAAGATTAATCATCACATTATTTTACACATCTTACATTACACTTGGTTAGAGTTGGTGTGATCTGTTTGTTAGTGGTGATATAAAAATAAAAATATTGCCTTTGGCCTTAGCCATAGTTGCCAAGAAATGCTTTCTTCCTCATATTGTTGAACAGAGTTACATCAGTTATGATTAGGTCATTCTCAGTTGCTAATGTGGTGTATTTATATGTCATGGAAGGTAAAATCATCACGGGGAAAGCAAAAGGATGCAAATCATACATTTCAAGAATTAGATATTACTGGAGTGGCATTAGTTGTCATCTTTAACCAAGATTTGCTTTTCGGATTTCAAGAACTTCAAAGAAACACACTTTTCTGTTTACTGATGTCTGATTTTGATACTCTATTTGTATAAAATTACTATTATTGTTCCTTCACATGGAAATGCTTGGTGATGTTCTTCATTTCGTTCTTCATATCCCTGTAAAGCAGAGGATCTAGATAGATGTCTGTATGGCGGCAGAGGCCCTGATGTCACCTGCTGCATCTTTGACACTGTGTTCAATAATTCATTAAGGAATCATTAACTTCAATGCTATGCTTTGGAATATTTTTCTCATGACCAAATAAAAGAGAAAAAAATAGAGGGTTTCTTCTTCAATGGGGTCAGATGCAAAAAAAAAAAAAGTAGGTTTTCACTTGGTAGGAGCTAGATTAACTGTAAATAATTTTAAATCGTTCATCCTTCAGATCGTAGGGAGTTTTTAATTACCTTGTGATGTGTTTTGACTCTGACCGACAGTTCTAACCCCTGTTCAGGATTTCTGCCATGAAACAGTAGGTTTTTAATTGCTTTCTCTGCTCTCAAGGGTTTGCCTTAACTTATGATTGTGTGATAATTTCTGTAAACTGTTAAGTTGGGAAAATTATATGTTCCCACTATAAATTAGGTGCTATTTTTTTTCTTATGACACTTCTCATTACATTGTCATTTTATTTGTTTGATTTTTTATTGTCCATTGTATGAAATCTGTCTTGTGCCGTTTAGTAGCTTATTTCACACAGTAATATTTATTTCATATAAACAGCTAGGCAGCTGCTAAACTTCGCATATTTATATACTGTGCAGAAAGGTATTGTTTGACCAACATTTAGCCAGTTTGATTTCTGGTGTGTCCTACTCTTTGTCATTTCATATACTTTCAATTGTTCAACCCTAAAATGATTCCACTAAATTTTCCCTACATTTTGTCAACCGGCTGCAAGAATTAAGGCCGATACATTTATTTCTTCTTCATTATGATTGAACAGGCTATATTTTTTCCTTCTTTGTG